GGTCAGGCTGGTCTCAAACTCCTGACCTCGTGATCTGCCCGCCTCGGCCTCCCAAAGTGCTGGGATTACAGGTGTGAGCCACCACGCCTGGCCGTGGACACATGTGTTTTAAACTCCTTTGGGCATACCTAAGGAGTGAAATTGCTGGCTGCTATGATAACTCTGTTTAATGTTTTGAGGAACTGCCAAACTTTTTCCAAGTGTACCCATTTTACATTTCCACCAGCAGTTTGTGAGGGTTCTGATTTCTCCACATCCTCATCAACATTTGTTATTGTCCATCTTTTTAATTATATTTATCCTACTGGGTGTGATTTGGTACCTCGGTTTTATTTATTTGTTTTGTTTTGGGTTTTTTTGTTTTGTTTTGTTTTGTTTTGTTTTTGAGACAGAGTCTTTTTCTGTCTCCCAGGATGGAGTGTAGTGGCGTGATCATAGCTCAGTGCAGCCTCAGTCTCCCAGGCTCAATCAATCCTCCCACCTCAGCCTCCTGAGTAGCTGGGACCACAGGTACGCACCACCACGCCTAGCTAATTTTTAGTAGAGATGAGGTCTCTCAATGTTGCCCAGGTTGGTCTCGAATTCCTCAAGCTCAAGCAATCTTCCCACCTTGGCCTCCCAAAGTGCTGAGATGATGGGCATAAGCTGCTATGCCTGCCTGGTACCCCAGTTTTGATATGCATTCCTGATGGTTAATGACGTTGAGTATCATGTAGTCACCGCTGCCAGCCCATGCACTGTGTCCCCCCACTGTGCTGCCACCCTGCTCCTCCGCCTGTCACAATGGAAGAAGAGATTGCCACTCTGGTCATTGACAATGTCTCTGGCATGTGCAAAGCTGGATTTGCTGGGGACGACGCCCCCCGAGCTGTGTTCCCCTCCATCCTCAGGCACCCCTGGTACCAGGGCATGATGGTGGGCATGGGCCAGAAGGACTCCTATGTGGGTGATGAGGCCCAAAGCAAGCGCGGCATCCTGACCCTGAAGATTGGGACTCTGACCCCATCAAGCATGGCATCATCATCAACTGGGATGATATGAAGATTTGGCACCACACCTTCTACAGCGAGCTGCGTGTGACCCCAGAGGAGCACCTGGTGCTGCTGACGGAGGCCCTTGTGAACCCCAAGGCCAACAGAGAGAAGATGACCCAGATCATGTTTGAGACCTTCAACACCCTGTCCACGTATGTGGCCATCCAGGCCGTGCTGTCTCTCTATGCCTCTGGACGCACCACTGGCATTGTTTTGGACCCTGGAGATGGGGTCATCCACACGGTGCCCATCTGCAAGGGCTATACCCTCCCCCACATCATCTACGTCTGGACCTGGCTGGTGGGGACCTGACTGACTACCTCATGAAGATCCTCACTGAGCGCGGCTACAGCTTCACCACCATGGCTGAGTGGGAAATCGTGGGTGACATCAAGGAGAAGCTGTGCTATGTCACCCTGGACTTCGAACAGGAGATGGCCACTGCTGCATCCTCCTCCTCCCTGGAGAAGAGCTAGGAGCTGTACAACGGCCTGGTCATCACCATCAGCAACGAGTGGTCCTGGTGTCTGGAGGCACTGTTACAGCCTTCGTTCCTAGGCATGGAATCTTGCAGCATGCATGAGACCACCTTCAACTCCATCATGAAGTGTGATGTGGACATCTGCAAATACCTACATGTCAACAAGGTGCTGTTCGGTGCCACCACCATGTACCCAGGCATCGCCAACAGGATGCAGAAGGTGATCACCGCCCTGGCACCTGGCACCATGAAGATCAAGATCATTGCGCCCCCAGAGCGCAAGTACTCTGTGTGCATCCGTGGCTCCATCCTGGCCTCACTGTCCGCCTTCCAGCAGATGTGGATTAGCAAGCAGGAGTACAATGAGTTGGTGCCTCCATCGTCCACTGCATATGCTTCTAAATGGACTGCAAACAGATGCATAGCATTTGCTGCATGGCTTAATTCAGAAGCATAAATTTGCCCCTGCCAAATGCATACACTTCATGCTAGCCTCATGAAACTGGAATAAGCCTTCAAAAAGAAATTGTCCTTGAAGCTTGTATCTGATATCAGCAGTTGATTGTAGAAGTTGTTGCTGATTTTGACCTTATATTCAAGTTAACTGTTCCCCCTTGGTATCTGTAGAATACCTATCCATATCTTTGATTTCACCCCTTAGTACATGTGGCTTGGTCACTTTGTGGCTGATGTAAGAACGTGCTTGTGGAAGACAAGTCTGTGGCTTGGTGAGTCTACATGGCCAGCAGTCTCCGATCTGTGCAGGGTATTAATGTGTCAGGGCTGAGTGTTCTGGGATTTCTCTAGAGGCTGGCAAGGGCTCCTGAACCAGTGGTTTCTGTCCTGCCAGTCTGTCAGGGTTGGAAAAGTCCAAGCCACAGGACCCAGTTTCCTTTCTTAGCTGATGTTTTCCTGCCAGAACACCGTGGGCTGTTAACTTGCCTTGAGTTGGAAGCAGTTTGTATTTTCACCTGTAAATGTATTAATCCTTTTAATTTATGTAAGGTTTTTTTGTATACAATTCTCAATTCTTGAAAGAGATGACAACAAATTTTGGTTTTCTACTGTTACATGAGAATATTAGGCCCCAGCAACATGTCATTGTGTAAGGAAAAATAAAAGTGCTGCCGTAAAAAAAAGAAAAAAAAAAAAAAAAATCTTTTTATGTGATTTTGGCTATTTGTATATGTTCTTTGCAGAAATATCTATTCAAATCTTTTGACTATTTTAGAATTGGGTTGTCTTTTTATTATTGAAATATATAAAAGAGTACTTTATATATTCTGGATACCAAACCCTTATCAGATATATGATTAGCAAATATTTTCTCCTGTTCTATGAGTTGAATTTTTACTCTATTGATAGTATCTTTTGAAACACAAGAAATTTTGTTAAAGTCCAAATGTGTTTATTTTTTCCTTTGTTGGTTGTGGTTTTGAGGTCATATCTGTTATCTAGTCTGAGGTCACAAAAATTTATGGCTATATTTTCTTTTAATACTTTTATAGATTTAGCTCTTATATTTAGGCCCTTCATCCATTTTGAGTTAATTTCTGTATGTAGTATGAAATAGTGGTCTAAATTCATTATTTTGGATATGGATATATGGTTGTCCCAGCACCATTTGTTGAAAATATTCTTTTTTCTCCATTGGCTTGTCTTGGTACCCTCACCAAAAGTCAATTGACCATAAATGTGAAGGTTTATTTCTGGGTTTCTCCTATTTATGTTTTTAGCTTCCAAGGGCTCTTTGTTTTTCTTCAATTGCTTCCTTATTCGTCCTGTTTTTCTATCATGGGTCATTGTCTTTGTGAAGATATTAATAATGGCTTTTAAAGCTTTCATTTCTCTGCATAGTCTCTATTTCTCCAGGGTACCTTTTTCCCTGTTCATGATTTTGATCTCTGTATTTTGTTCCATAGTGTCTATTAAAATATGTATTATTCTCAATTGTCTGTTCAAGTTTAAAGACAGAGCACTAAAGCCTAATTGAAAGCTCTGTGTGTTTAAGTAGAGTTTACCAGCTGTGGACCTCACTGTCAGATGATCTAGTAGACCTTATCAATATGACAATATCTAAATTGTTTTTCTTAAGCAACTTAGAAAGCTCTCTATTACTCTTCATGGAAGGGTATAATCATGGCTTCCAGCATTCTGCAGTTTCAGTGTGGAGTGGACTGGGTTTTTTCAACTGTTAGAAAGTAAGTTTTCCCTTAGTTCTACATGTTTTCAGTAAAGCATCTGCATCTTCAAAAGTGTCTAGTGGTCCCTAGGCCAAAAACCCTGCTTTTTAACTTCTTCAGAGAATAAATTCTGGTTTCCTGTATGGATTAAGGGGCACCAAGGTGATGAGTCACCCAGTGAAGTAGAACAGTGGATATGACATAGAGGCCTAAGTGCTTCTTAAAAATCAGCTCACCTGTATGTATAACACCACTTCCAGAGACTTTTGGAGGTTCCATGGTATAAACCAGGCTGCTTTTTCCCACTGCTGGCTTAGGACTCAGCTTTCTCAAATCTGCAGTCAGTTACCATTCCCTCCATTCTCCAATATCCATAATTTTGTTGCTGCAATTTCTTCGTCCATTCTCTTCATCCTTGTGGATTTATAACTAAAAAGAAAACCAAAAATAAAGCAACCCTTTACATTTATTGTAGCTGGATTTCTGGAGGTAAAAAGTTAACTATTTGTGTTCATTCTATCATCTTTAACCAAAAGACAGAATATTAAACAATATTTTTGCTATTGGTTTGTGATTTATGTTATATGTGCATTGGAGCCAAGGATAAAATCTTTGAAATTTGTTGAGGCTTGCTTTGTAAGCCTTGGATTGATTGATTTTTATAAATGTTTCATATGTGCTTAAGAAGAATGTACTGTATAGTTGTTGGTATCTAAATCATTTGTTGGATCAAACTTGCTAATTATTATATAAATATTCACATACTTGGTAATTTTCTTATTCTTAATCTATCAATTATCTAGAGAAGTTTGTTAAAATCTACCACTTCAATTGTAGACTTGTCAGTTTCTCCTTGTAAATCTGTCAACTTTTGCTTATATCATATATTTAGAAGCTATGAATTAGGGCCATACATGTTACAGAGTAGTTCTATCTTCTTGCTAGATTACTCCTATTAATCATATATAATAGGCCTCTTTATTTCTCTATCAATGCTTTTTGCCATTAGTTCTGTTTTATCTATCATACAGTTTTATTTAATTTTAGCCTGGTGTATCTTTTTCTATCCCTTTACTTTTAGCCTTTCTATGTTTATCTATTTTATGTGTATCTCTTGCAAAATAGCCTATAAATGAATTTTTAGAATCAATCTGACAATATTTGTCTTAACTTGAAATTTTACATTTATTATAATTACTGATATGTTAGATTTATTTCTGCTGTTTGTATAATGCTTACTACTGTGTTTTAACTATTTATCATTTTCTTTTTCTTTCCTGCCTTCTACCAGATTACAAGCCCTCCCACTCTTTTTTCAGTCCATTAATTTGGAAGTTATATATTCTGTTTGTATTACGTTAGTGAATACTCTTAAAATTTTAAAGTTGCAGTTGACTTAAAGTCCAAATTCAGTAAAATTCTTTATTCTTCTCCAGAACAACTCCACAGTCTTGTTCTGATTATATGTTATTATTGTCCAGTTTTTATACTTGTTTTTATATTCAAATTTGTTCTTTTTTGTTGTTCTGTGGCTTGGATTTATACAGGAGTCTTAATTCTGCCTTATGCAGACTCTTCCTCCTCCCTATATTTAGTTGATTGGACCAGGGGTAGACACTGGATCTAAGTCAGGCTAACCCCTGGAAACCTGAAACTGGGCCCAAGAGACACTAGTTGGACCTAGCGAAAAGCCAGAGATGAGAGAGAGGGAAAATTTGATTCCTGATGACTTTGCAGTTTCTGATTCCAGTTTCTCAAGAGGTGCAGCTTTGGAGTTCTCTGAGATATTCCTGTATCCTTGCAATAAATTCTCCTTTTTTGCTAAAGTAATTTATAGTGGGTTTCTTTCTTGTTATCAAAGGAACTTGAAAATGCCATTCTCCTTCCCAGAATTACTAATTTTAAATTAATTATATCATTGCACATCTGTTTAGTACTTCATAGCTTACTGAATATGTACCATCATTAATTATTCTCATCACAACAATGTGAATATTAATGGTTTTTCAACTAGATAAATGAGGAAACTGAGGCCCAGACTCATAAAATGATTGGCCCATGTTCTTAAAGATGTGGTTGATCAGCTTATATGAAAACCCAGGTGTTATTTTTAGCCCGGTGGCTTCCTGTGCATCATTGCATTCTAAGTTAGCCTAAGGTTGTCACAAAGTTGGTTTTCATAACATAGAGCTTCATCTTCTCCAAAGAAATAGAATTGAGATTATAGGGAAAATCTTTTATATTAAATGCTTAGATAATATAATGAGAAATCTGTTATTCTATTTGGAGGAAAATTACTTTGGGTACAATTTATATGATATCAGTTGCTATGATATATGGTTTTTAATAATCAACACAGGTGGAGGCTTATAATAAAAGGGTGCCTTGCTATTATAGTAGAAGAATGAAATAACCTGCAGTCCACATTTATCTGTGAATGCTACTCAATTTTCTTTCTCCTTAGCCTTGCAGCTTTCTTTAAATTAGAAAATTAAATCTTCAGGGTCATTATTTTAAAAGATATTCTATTCTTCCTCTTCCCTGATAACAAATTCCTTACATATTAAGAATTACTGGAGCAATATTTTATCCTGTATGTGGCCAGTGATTTAAAGGATGCTTTCCATTTCTGAAATTGCATTAGGAGTACATAAATGCTTTTTAAAAAATATTTATTCAGTAAAGCAAGTATGATACCTATTTGCAACACTAGGCCACATGTGAGATTTTTAAAACAATGAGTTAGTCACTGTCTTTAAAGAGCATATAGCTGATAATATTACCAGCCAATGTTCTTTGAATACTTACTATTCGCCAGTCACTGTTGTAAATATTTTAGATCATATGTTAATTCACTTAATCTTCACAACAATCCTGTGAGGTATATACTATTATTATCACCATTTTATAGATAAGAATATTGAGGTACCTTTACAGAGAAGGTAGAGTAATAAGCTCAAGTCACATAGCTAGTAAGTTGTAAAGCCAGGACTAGAATATATGCCTGACTCGTGGCAAAGTTCATGCTTTTTCTTCTTATGCCATGCTGCCTTTAGAGCTGAGGAAAACAGTCTAGTGGGGAGGCTAATGAAATAAACCAGTGTGAGGCGATAAGTTCCTGGAGTAAGGGCAGTCATATCACCACATTTCTTGAATTTTCTCAGTAGTGATTTCGGATACTCTTGCTTGTCTCTATGAGCCATGAAAATGTTAGGCAAAATCTTGTGTTTTAGTACATAGAGTAATTGCTTTTTGAACCTA